GTCACCGCCTGGTCATGCGCTCCTTCCACCTCACCGCCCAGGAGATGCTCAGGGTCTTCGCCTCCCACATCCGGGACCGCGCTGCCGCGTTGAGGGACAGTCCGGCCGCGGGGACCAGCCGCGGCTGAGCGGGAGAAGCCAGAGACCAGGACACCGCGTTAGGACAGCCTGACCTCGTCACCGGAGCACGGCCCACACCCCTGTGTCCCCCCGACCTGCACCCCTGAAAGCCCGCAGGCCAGCCAGCCTTCCATCGCTGGGGTCAGGGCCGCGGGTCAAGCCCACTTCACCTGCTGCCCAGCCCTCCTGCATCTGGCTTCTCCCTCAGCCCTGCCCTGACCCTCAGGGGGCCCCCGGCGCGACCCCCGTCCGTGGACAGCTCCGTAGAACTTGTTCCTTTATCATTTGTGTGTCCTGGTCCGGTCACTTCAAGGGTCCCCACTCTGGAGGCTACTTTACCTTTCCCCTTGTTTTCCTGGAGGGTCTCGCCTTACTGACGGCAAGTGACTCGTGCATTTTTGTTCGGTTTTCACCCCAAATCCAGTGCTGCAGGCTCGATTACTTAGTCTCCCCAACCGCACCGGTGTTCTTGTCCAGGTGGATTTGGGAGTGTTGCAGGCACATGTTTTTGTCTCATCTTGTTTCTTTTTGTTTGGTGGGTTTCTTTTTTTTACTTCGGAGAAGTCCTTGACAGCATGCTTTGATTGCTTTTGTTTCTTTCTTCAAATTGGTGTTTTATTTTCTTTTTTACACATTGTCCTTTTAAAGGCGCTTCACTTGCTTAGCCTCCTGGACATAAAGCTGCAGCATTCACTCTGTTCTCCCCTTTTCCCTGGTTATTAAATTAAGCATTTCAAAGCTCCTGGAATGTTTTCTCAATCCTGGTCACTCTCCTGTGTCATCGCTGTGTTCTCCCACCTGGTGTCTGTTCAGTCATTTCTGCTGCCACGTCCTCTTTCCAGGACACACGGCTGGCTTTCTCTTGCACTGCGATTCGTCTGAGGAAACAGGCTTTCAGCAGTGTTTGTCAGCCTGAATTACCACCAGTGTCAATATGAAAGCAGGTTTGGGAGGTAAGTCAGCTTTTAAAGAGTGGAATGGAATGAAAATACATTCGTGTTCACAGTCCAGGAAGTATTCTTTCAGGAAACTTGGCTTTATGAAACGGTATGTACATGTGTGTGGTGTGCTGTCAGCCTGATCCCATGATGACCTCTGTGACGGAGACCCATGGTCATCTCCTAACGGTCATCTTTATGGGAGCGTTTCGCCAGATATTTCCTCTTGGGGAGTTGCTGGTCCATAGAAGGCACTTTCCTTACCAGCCATGTACCTGACTGTTGTGACCTGGGATTCCTGTACCTCCCTGGTCCTGAGTTAATATTAAATGACTCCCATGGATTGTAAGGGAAAGTGATTTCGAGATCTTCAGAGAGTTTTTCCGGGCAGTCTGGGGTCTCCACACTTAGCCACTGTGTATTTTTGCCAGAGCGTTCCCTATGAACCCAATGACTGCCCCATTTCTGCACTGTTTCCCTGCTTTTAAGGGTGCTGTCTTCCCTTCTTAAAGGAGGAGTGCTAAGCAACAATACAAACTATTGGGCTACACTTATATAAAATGAGTAAAGTATGCATTGACTATGGTGAGACATAAAAACTAAGAAGACTATATAATTATATAAAAACTAAGAAGACTATATAATTATGTGCTAAAACGACAAACAAATCTACAGCTGAAATTACCGGTTTCCAATTAAGATTTCTAGGCAAGACATATTACAAAGATGAAAACTAGATGAATTAGAAAGATACAGAAATAAAACTATGGCCTATAAATTGTTTAGCTTAGCTATCACTAACAGCAAATACCTTGAAAACAGCCGTTGCACAGGCAGAGAATTCTTGAGAAAAGGGGAGTATCAGGAAAATAAGGGTCAATATTTTAAATATTTTACGTAGTAAGCAACCACATTCAGGATAGACTGTTTAAATTGCTTCCTGGACAATCTAATACGTAAAAACATTTTCATATTGTCTATATTATCATTGATATTTTTCCACAACAGTTAACACCAGCTATGAAGAAACAGCACCTAACAATATGTAAAATCAGTTCTGTGAGTAATTAACAAAATAATAATTGAGCACATGTATAGGGCTAAGGAGTCTATCTCATTGAATAATTTTCTAATAATTTGGTAATTTGTCTAGGTTCAAAATGGTATTAATAAAGACAATTTTTGTTGGTATGGCAAAAAAAGTGGTGCAGACAGTTAAGTGCTCAGATCAAGAGAAAGATTGGCAGTTCATGGTGATTGCCTTCTGGAAAAGCCGCAATGGAAATCAGTTTTGTTCTGGTCTGCATGAAAGCACCATGAGGCCAAGGAACCTGTTTTGTTTCCCAATCTATAAAGGACACCCTCCCCTTTAAAAGAGGAAAAATAGCAAGAGACAGGTTATCACCATCTGGACTTGAAATCCTACTTCTGCCCTTCATAACTGTTGTTTGAATTAACCTCTTCAGTTTGAAGGGTTTTAAAAATTTTTAATTCATTGCCGCACATTGTCTTTCATCTCCCTCCCCTAACCCCCTTTACAGTGCACCTATGGCTCCAATTCTAGGGTTTTAGGCATTTCCCCTTTTCTGCTTTGGTCTAGTGGTGAGAAGCTGTGCTGCATTCCCAAAGGCACTCAGTTCTAATCGTCCAGCTGCTCTGAGGGAGGTGAGGGGCAGCCTCCCCATTTACCTGGCGAGTCAGCCACGTGTCAGTTCTGACTCCATGGCACACAGCAGAACTGTTGAGAAAATATGTTGGTATTTGTAGAATGCCTATGATGTTGCTAGTTTTGTAGTTAAGTACAGTTAACTAAGAGCCCTATAGTTGAAAGAACACTATGTAAACGTCCTAGCTGCAGTATTTCCTGTTACCTTGGGCCTGTTATAAAAAGTCATCTGTAAGATGTGGGCTTATTCACCAGTGTTAACAGCACTGGTAACTGCCTCTGTCATGTCTTACACCGTGCCTGCTGCAGTGTGCAGCAAACGTGTTGAATTTGCAAATACCTCAAATCTACCTTTGTCTGCTACATGGTTGTGGATACAAAGATGTGTAGTAGAACTCGGCTTTACCCTAAGTACCGCGGTAAAGGTGGACTAGTTAAAATGATAGCAAGAGACCTATAGGTCCTGTCAGGTGATCCATGAATGTTTAAGGGCCACTAGTAAAAGGGCAGGAAGCCGTATGATAATGAAGCAAGCAGACCCGCAGGATAAAGTATTTGCTTTAGATGATGAGTTTGGATATGGCACCTGGAAAGCACACATTGATGTTGGCAGGGACGAATTCATAGCGGACTCTCCAGAAGGTTTCAAGACCGTAATTTTGCAGAAAGGAGATTGCCCATCTTTTCTACCATGCAGCTTCAGGTGCATTCAAGCCAACAGAGGCAATTTCCAGGAAATAACTAGAGGGAGTATTCGTAGTACAAGGGTCAAGAGTGGGAGTTGTTAATGGTAGGAAAAAACTTGTACTTTCTAAAAATGACTGGACTATTGATAAAAAAAATTGGGATTTCCACTATAATTATGAACCGCCATCAAGTGGAATGTAGACTTGTAGGTCTATTTGAAGTGTCCAGGACATAAGCGATCCTTTCCTTAAGCCCCGTTGGTGTTGACATGCTCCACCATTGAGGTCTTGTAAGGGTCTGCCTTACCGGAACTGTTACTGTACAGTTACAGCATCTCCAGGTAGTCACCTCCCTTGAGACTTACAGCCCCCGAAGACCCGCTGGAGGGTCAGCTTGAGTTGATCTAACAAGGTGGTAGGGAAGAGGTTGGAATAGGGATCGTTGAGACGCGTGGGGGAAGCGAGTGATGGGTGCATGCCTAGTGAAGCAGTCTAAGGTTCAGAACTGGGTCAGGCCAAGTTACAGGAACATTTCCTGCAGAACACCTGGGAGAGGGTCTCTAGCATAGGTAGTAGATGTCAGGTGCCGCACAATGGCAGGTGTCAGGCATCCACAGTGCACATACCGTAGTCATTATTAAAAGACCAAACTTGTTTTAAGAGAGTGGAGGCAGTCTTTGAGGCTGAGACCCACTGCCCTCCACAGATCTGTAATAAAGTGAATTTATGGATATTGCAAAAAAAAAAAAAAAGAGTGGTCTCTGACAGGGTGCCAAGGGACCATTGCCTATTTCCAAATCCATAGTTGCATATTTCCAAATCTGTGCCACCCTGCGGTCCTGACCACCCCTGACGTAGCTGTGTTTCATTCAAATGTTAAACTTTACACACGGGGGGAAATAGCCAAAGCTTAATGTGACATTGAATTTTTTTACGAGTTTATGAACCTCTGTGGGCGCAACACTATGGCAGCTTCGCCGTGCGGCGACCCGCGTCTGGTCACCATGGTAACCGCAGAGCGGCGGTCCCTGACGTGGAAGGGCGGGACTTTGCGGAAGCTGGACGTCATGACGTGCGAGGCGGGACTTCCGGGGGAGGCGGTAGCGGGTTGGCGGTGCAGCTGACAGCTTCGGGGGCTCGGGCTTGGCGCCCGAGCTGGGGTGCAGAGCCGAGCGGGGTTCAGCCGCCGCTGCGAACACCCGGCCATGGCTCGGGGTGACCGGCGGCGCCGCGCAGCGCCGGCGGAGGGGGTGCGGGCGGCCGAGCGGGCAGTTCGGGGCA